TCAACCAGAGGCTGTGACTGCAGAGCTGGACCTATCGTTGCTCTTGGGGGTGTGCAGCTCAGAGAGAAATCGATGGTTGGCATGCCTTGTTCCTGTATCCTGTTTTGTGATCCTGATTGCAACCTTTGTAGTAACCGGTATCTCGACCGTAATAGCACCCCTTTGCATTTAGTTTCGTCTCGTTCTGTCTGCTTGTCCTTCGATCGTTTGCTTTGTGCATTGGTGTTGTTTCTTCAGTTATTTTCAAAGACGGGTTCTGCATCTGCTTGTAAGAACCTTGCCTGCTTGCTCGCTTGCCTTGCATGTGTGTCTACATCTTTACTGTCGCGGTTGTGGGTTTGGCTTTGCTGCGTATTTTGGTGATTTCTGAGTTGAATGCGATGTCTAATTTGCTTTCTGTATTTGTGTTAATGCTGGTGTGGTTGTTGTTTCTTTCCTTGTGCTCGTGGCTGCGTGGTTGGTACGGTCACACATACCTTCGTAAGTCGTTGTTTGGTTCACTGCTTCTTGTGCTGCTACCTTGATTGCCTGTTCGTTGTCTTTGCTGGTGCTGTTCTGCGTTGGCACAGTCTGCTTCCTTCGGTCGCCGTTTGGTGTGTTGAGGAGTCGCTTGGACGGTTGATTCAACACTTGCGTGATGCTGCCTCGTGGTGCTATACGGTTTCTTCGTAGCGCACGTGATGTGCATCTAGTCGTAGAGCAGATGCATGTTCTGTCCTCAGAGCATAAGCCCCAAACCGTCAAGATGGGTTGGAAGAGAGCGCAAGGCACCCATCAATGTTCATCGAGGTGCACATTTGATCAATGAGATGCTGTGCAAGGTCATATAGTATTATAGAGAGCCGAGCCTCTCGCGCTGAAGGTTTCGGAACAGAAACGGCGGCAATGTCGAAGTACATGCACAGTCTTCAGCTCCGAAGGCTGAAACTAAGCCATCTGATATGCCGCCCTAACCCCACACCCGAAGAGCATGGAGCTGTGCAGCCTGCATTAAAGTGTAGAGTCTTGCCGCAGTGCTGTGCGCTGTATCCGAAACATATCTTGGGATCGACCTGCAATACATGGTCAAATAAACCTGAGGATGGTACTATCGGGATAGAAGGACAAGAGCTTAAGGACTCTATGGCCTAGATCTTCGCAAACCTTGAGATCACGAATCCACACAGGAGGAGCCGCATGCTGCAACTCCAGCCGTGCGGACCTCTGTGTCAAAGTTTCCAGCATAGAGGTTTTTTATAAACACCCAAAACCTCTATGGGGGTTTTATAAAAACCTCTGCTCCATGAATGAACTGTTGGGGCTTTAACTTTTCTGAGCCATTTTAACAATGAATGATGTGGTTCAGGGTCTGGGACGACTCTGGGGATTATGTTTGTCTTGAAAGTTGGTAGTTGCTCTGATACTTCGTCAATGTCGCTTGGGCGGTCTTTCCTTAAACACACAGGATAGAAGTACTTGTGGCTTTCTGGACAGTATGGTTGGGGCGTATTGCTTGCTTCAAAGGTGCATTGCTAGGATGGGTGGTTGCTTGGTAAGATTGAACAGCCCGAACCTACCTAGAGGCTCGTACCCTACCCTTGTTTCAAGGTACCTAATGTTCTATATAACAGATCCTATTAATAAAACTAGGTATCCTAAAAAAGGGGTACGGTATGACCCTCTCAGCAACGGCTCTTAGAAGAGCCCTAAACCCTAACCCCCTAAACCCCTAGACCCTAAGCCCCCAAACCCTAAACCCTGTGCAAAAGCATGAGGCTATCCGGCTCTTGGCTTTCAAGGAGGCCAACCTTGCGCCGTGCTGGCCTCGATGCACGAGCACGACGTCGGGGTCTACTGGGCTCTTCTGGAAGTTTTAAAGTTAACATAGGGGCCTTAACCCTGATAATAGTTAGAATAGGGTTCTGGGGTAGTATCTACTTTTGCTATGCCAGGGTTTTGCCGTCATCAGTAACGCGTATATCTCTTGCATGTTCGTATCATGGATTTCGAGATGGCAACTGAAGTTGAGCTATCCAGGGTACCTGGCAGTCATAGGGTCTTTCAACGAAGCGGGTGTCTGAGGCTTTCAGGGCTTCAGAGTTTGACTCTGGGATGCTTGGGTGCTGGGGAGCATCGGAGTTGCAGTGTTGGGCTTTCCGAGAACTACATGCCAACCGTTATCGATGAACACTACGGAGAAGCTATACTCGCTTGTTCAGGGCATCTGGTGGGCGGTCAGACCTCCTAGGTCTTGTCATACTGCCGTGATGTGCTTTGTCTCAGTCGCTCTAGCGACGAACCCCCTTACTTTTTGCGCGCTGCTCCAATCCGCCCCCCCAAAGGCTTGGCCTCAAAGCCTATTGCAACCTAAACCTCAAGAGCTCTCTCAACCTGAATATAAAGCACGACAGCCCGTAACCTGAAACCCTAACCCTACTTACAGCGATAAACTTACTGTAACCTCTCAGAAACCACCAAACTTACTTAAACCCACATGTCCAGGCTCGTCCTGTCGCTCTTGGAGGCTTCCGAGACTTTGGCGGAGGTGCGCGACATCCTGGCGACCGGCAATCGGGATTGCATGTTGGGGGCTGTTTTCGATGGTTATCAAGGAGCTCCTCTTAGAGTCCTGAACTCAGCATGAGTCCTTCGTTAGAAGGCCCCCAGACACCCAAACTCGCCGGGTCCAGATTGTGAGTCGTGATTCCGCAAGTCTTTCCATGCTGAGCTATATCTAAACTCCTGCCAAAGCTTGAACCCTTAACCCCAAACCCTGGATGCAGCTGCAAAAAGACATGAGGGTTCAAAAAAACAAAACAAGCAAACCCTAAAGCGCACAAGTTTACCCTAAACCCATAAACCGTGAACCGGAGGAGGCTGCCGTTGCTTGGCTTCGCTTGGCCCTGGATTTCCGGGAGATAGCGACACTGAAGGAGGCGGCGGTTTGGGTTCAGGGATAAGGGTTTTCGGCTTGCGATTCCTCCTGCCGCAACAAACCCCCAAATTTGTTAAGCAAGGCAGCTTGGGGAGGACGTGGCGATGGAATGGAGAATGTTTCGACATGCAAGCCTAGGACCCAATAAGGCTTGGTGTCGTGGGGTTTAGGGATTGAGTGCTTTATAAGGTTCAGAGGTCAGGGCTTACTCTCATACGAAACCCTAAACTCCTAAACCCTAAACGGTTTATAGGGTTCAGGGCATGCTCTACGAAACCCTAAACTCCTAAGCCCTAAACCATGAACCCTGAACCGCTAAACCAGAGTTCCTGTGACCTTCATAGATCCGCAGGGCGAAGCAGCTCGTTTGCTTGTGGAGTCCCACCTGGCGCGGCCCTTAGGCTGTCTAGGGGCTCATACCCTACCCCTTTGTCAGGGCGCCTATACTTTTTAAGATAACAGATCCTAACCATAAAACTAGGTATCCTAAGAAAGGGGTAGGGTATGAGCCTCTTGGTAAGGCCTGACTTAGAGCGAATCTGGGTTCAGATTTCAGAGTTTTTGAGAGCAGTTGGCTTGGGCCTGAGAAGGTGGCCCTAAACCCTAAACCCTAAACCATCGGAGGCACGGAGGCACTAGCAAGCTAAATCCCGACTTTGACGGGTACTGGATGCATGCTTGGGTTGCTTCGCGGGTTTCTTGTAATGGGTATATCAAAGCTATATTAAGGGTATATACCTAGGGGTCCTTATTAAGGGTCCCTCCTTTTACCCTTGGATCTTGTGAACATTGCAAGCTCGCTCGACCCTGGAATCGCCCTTCGACAGGCCTCATCCTAAGGCTCTCAAGCTTACGGAAACCAAGACTAAAGAGGTACACCCTCGATGAAGCCTGGATTTCTGCTCACCACAACGGAAAGAATGCCGAACTCTTGAACTGAACTGTGAAAGCTAGCTTCAGCTGACATGGGCTGGTATCGTGTAGGTCTAGGTATCAAGTAACGACCAGGTGCAGTCGAACCCCTCGGCTTGTAGACCTTGTCCACGGTTCCTCCCAATCTAACCCGAAACCCATCCCTAAACTCACCCTATCCCTAAACCCTTAACCCTAAGGCCTGCACCCCAAGAGTTAAGCATTCCACAGGTAGTGCAAAGCACGAACCCCAAGCCCGGGCTTTTATACTAAGAAGTGGTCGTGTTGTTGCTGCTACAATAGTCGGCACGGCAACTCTACTACCGATATAGTGAGAACAAATCGAAGTGTAGAGAATTTCATACCAACAGTACGAGGCGACACTATCGACAACAACAGCGCCCTAAGCCCCTATAGGCCTAGGACCTACAGTAGGCCCTTATTCCCTTTTTTAGGGTTCAGGTTCCCTTATAAGCCCCTTTAAACCAAAAAGGGCACCCTTTTTCTTCCTAGGTTACTCTTGGGTCTAGAGGCCCTAAACCCTAAGCCCCAAAAGCCCCAATCCCAAACCCCGAACGCCAAACCCAGAGCCGATAACACCCAAACCCCCAATCACCGCCGGAAACCCCGAAGTCTTGTCTTACCTTTGGTTAGTAAGGGGATCTATAGGGTTCTTTAATAAAGGGATCTATAGGGTTCCTTAAAAAAGGGATCTATAGGGTTCCCTAAAGGGATCTATGGAGTTTAGGGTTTACTTAACTTTGGTTAGTAGGGAATGGAGGAGTGGGGTACAATAATAACTACTAATACTACCGTTCTTCCATTCCCTACTAACCAAAGGTAAGTTGTTCGACAAGGCAAGAATCGCCGTGGTCAAGGGAAGCACATCTGGCTATGCAGCCTCCCCAGAATCCGGTCAGCGACTTTGGTTCTGAGGCCTAGGGCCTCGGGTTCACCTCTGAGGTCTTGGGCTTGAAGTCGCAGGGTCCGGTTCAGACTTGGAGGGTTCAGGGCTCCAGGGGTGTAGGTTTTGGGGGGAGAAGTTTGGGGCATCGATTCAGCAATTGCTCGTTGGCACTTCTCTGCGACGAGCACTATTACCGCCACCACTGGGATCGAGTGACGATAAAACCCACACTTAGGCACTCGCGGCGGCTTCTTCCGATTTGCTGCCATGGCAGACACCGCAGCTAGCAGCCTTGCGACATCCTTACTGCGTGGCTGCTGCTTCGAAACAGATCGGCTCCTTGTGCAAGAGTTCCAGCCAACTTTCTCCCGCTGGCATTCCGCAGCCGAATCAAGGGACCACGAGTTCGACATTGCCTCTGTTGTCGTCGCATCAGTGCTCACCGAAGAGGCTGATTCGCAAGCGGCCAAACAGACAAACAGACCCAGTTGACCTCGAACAACAAACAGCCTTGCACAAGCCGATCGAAGAGCCTCCCCCCCCACCCCTAGAGTCTGTGCGATCGAATTTTGAGAGATTCAGGTGACCAAGCCACTCCCACCTCATTGGCAAGGCCCCTATTCACCAGACAGGGCCAGGCAGTGGATGTGCGACTTAATCGATGAACCCATGACCACGCTGCTCTTTGCGGTGGCCAAAGATCGTGGCAGAGAAGATACCGAAAGACACTGCGTTCTTGTTAAGAAGTTATATAATATCCGTTTCCATTGCTAGCATGGTTTCCGTATCACCTATACCGAAACTGCGTCAGTAACTGAGCTCTTCAACTTGCACCCAGGAAGTGGGGACCAGAAGGATGCTTTGAAGATGGCTTCTGACTCGATTGTCGGACTAGTGATTGCTTTCGAAATGGACGTGGAGGGATCTGAATCCCAGAAGGATATTCGCTTGGGCTACCTGCTGTCTGAGAGATTCTGGGGCCGAGGCTTTGCATCAGAGCTCGTGTAGCTTGGTCGCCAGCAACCACTGCTCTGTCGTGTAGAAGTTCGATACTACATGTCACATAATAAATGATGGGTTGTGCTGTTACATCTACAAGTCTACAAGCACATGTTGAACGGAAACAAACATGCTGAGGAAAGGTTTTGTCAGCTGGTGCCGGCAGTTCAATGAAACCGACACCCCGCAAATTGCCTCCATTATTGGAGGGGTGGCTCGGACGAATGTGGCATCCAAACGCGTCCTCGCGAAGAATGGCTTCCAAAGTCTCAGCGGCGTAGGTCCATCGGCCGACGGCGAAGATGAGCCGGAAGAAGAAGAGTTCCAGCTGCAGCTCATCGGCTGATCCTGCTCCTGCAGCTGCTCCTACAGAGCCATGCTGTGACCGTTGTTGCACGGTCGGTCTGAGTTGAGTCAGCCACTCCCAAAACTATTCTTCGCACGGTTGATGTGAGCAGGAACGGCTAGAGGTCTGCAGCCTGCCAAAGCAGTGGGCACACGCGGCCGCAGTGACACGACCAAGGTGAACTCCGACGAGTTTCACTCGCAGTAGTAGCAGTAGGACAGTAGGAGGAGGAGGTTCACCACCACAACAGTGATGGCATTACCGGCGGCAAGATGATGGGCACTAAGAAGAAGGGCCAAAACCACAACCGAACATTCTGGGACTCAGGTCCTAATCTCGAAATCTCGAATCACAAGGCCACATCCTGACACCCAAAGCCCATACCTCAATATACATCCTACTCTGATGCCATACAGCCATGAGCCAGGTCTATGTAGCCCAAGACTCGCCAGTTTGGTATTCGGCTTCAGCCCTAAACCAAAAACAGCGTTTACAGTAAAACCCATAAAGTTGGAAACCGGATTAAGGCCAAATAGTGCTGGGATTCCCTGTGCATCACTCTTAAGGATTGAGGCTTTGTGGTTTCCAACTTTTTGGGCTTTTATTGTAGGTCTTGGGTTGCAGGATCCTGCAGCACTGCTTCGGATTCAGGGATCTCGGATGCAGGGCTTGTGAAGCCACACCTTGGGCCCATGCTACTAGCAACTGGTCTGTTGCTCCTTAGATGTTGTACTACATATAGTGTGTAGAATATAAAGTCGGTACATAAACATATATATATATATATACATACATATAGTATGTGTATATTTTGTGTATTATATACAGTATATAATACGTATAATATCCTTGTCGCTGCAATTCAGCTTAGCTCTTGAAGCATGGTTACTGTTAGTAATTATTGCAGTTGTGGTCATACTCGCTTTCGCACTGCCGCTGCTTATGTTAATGACAATGACAACAGTCGTGATAGGAGTATCCTTTTCAGGTCCTTGCGGCCAAACCCGAACCCGCAGACCAGAAGCCTTCAACGATTTGACGTCTACAGGGTTTGGGGTGTAATCTAGGGGCCTGAGTGGCCTGAACAGTTTTTCTGGGGCGATGTTATAGTAGGCTTATGATAAGGAACCCTAAACCCCTAAACCCTAAACCCCTAAACCCTAAACCCCTAAACTCTAAACCCTAAACCCAAAGGAACCCTATGAACATGTCTGTCTTGGCCCCTGGATCGGGTGCTATAAACCGTGATGCGGGAAGGTGCACCGACTGCTTACGGCGCTGCTGCCCGAAGCATCAGGCACAGAACACGGAGATTTGGGCATGAACGGGCTTCTGGGGTTTCAGGATTACTGCTACAGGATTTTAGTGTTTGGGGGGGCTCTAGGGTTGCAGGGAGACGCTGGGACTCAAAGTGCATCCTAAACCCTAAGCCCTAAACCGGTCATCGTTCTTGGGTTGCATCACAAACCCTGGGCTGGTCCAAGATTTCAGCAACAACTACTTGCTCAAGACGGAATCCTTCCTACGCCTCTGATTCGAAGGGCCTCAGATGCCCCTAAGGATCCACGTGCCCATATAGTATATACTCAGGCCTTAGAGGGTTTCAGATGCTTGGATGTTGGACCGTGGAAGTATTAGGGCTTCAATACTTACTATTCGCATTTCTTAGTTTGCTTCCTTATTCGATTAAATTTGGAGAAGCTATACAACGACCTCTATAAAATCCAAAACGGCCCTACTGATGCCAATTATATAACTTTCCAGGAGACAACTTCTTTCGGTCTCCGGATAAGATGTTGAGTGTTTATATGGGGGATCTAGGGTTTAGGACTGAGGGGTAAGTCTCCGAAGCGAAGTTCCCAAAGCCTGAGTTCGAAGCCCTGCAATGTCCTACAGCCCCAACTCTTGAGAGCTTGTCCTAGCTGCCTCATGCAGACAGAAAAACTCGAATCCAGAATCTTTCACGTTGAAAGCCAGGCCCCAGCGGAACCCAAAAGACTCCACCTGAGCTCAGGGACAGATGGAGCTTCCAGTGTGCTTTCTGCAGTTCTTCGGAATGCAGCTCCTGAGCCAGGAAAGCTTTCATGCATGTGTCTGCAATATGTGTACATGGCCACGCCATAATTACCACTGTTCCAACAACTTGACAGACGACGTCATGTATTATCTTCAAGTTGCTGGATTGTGCCAACAGTTTTTGGCTGGGCTCAAGCAGCTTATTGAGTTCAGGGTACAGGGCTTTTGGTTGAGATCTCAGCGTTAGCCAAGTCGAAAGGGTTGGTGGTTTCAGGGTTTAGGGGTTGAGTCTCAAGGTCCTTCAAGGTCGGAAGTGAGAACGTGATGCTCCATGAGCCTTTCAAGGCATTGCATGACGTGTTCAGGATTTGGCTTTAGTGACGTGCTATCATCATTTCACTTCGTCAGCACCTCGGCGTCTTCAGCAAAGTGAAGCTGTGTCATGCGGCCCCATGTTTCCAAAGCTTCTTTTAATCGATTTCGTGTCGTTTGCTAGCTGTGGGTATATGTCTGTCTCTGTGTATTACTGCCCCGGTGCCTTGTCAGCACAACTCGCCGAAGTCGATGTCGCTAACAGCTGGGTCATGCCAGTGCGTCACCGAAGACTTGAAGCTCTTCAACATCTTCCTAAACCCTAAACCCCTAAACCGACCTGTTTTAGTGCAGGCCGAAACCGGCTGGACCTTCTGCGAGAAAAGGCCCCATTGCACTGAAAAAAACAACCTAAACCGTAAACCCCTACAAGCTCTACACTAAGGCCCTATTATAATACGGCACCTATTATTTAGGGTACCCAAAAAAAACCCCAATTTTGACAACCACCCATATGAATGCACTGGTTTTGGGCCTTAAGTCCCAAAACTTCAATCGCAAGAAACCCTAAACAGGTATGTAGCCCATTTCCTGAACCCTAGAACCCCTAAAGCGCTAAACCCCTAAACCCTAAACCCGAAAACAGGCACCCAGATTGAGATTTGGCCGCTTCTCTCGGAAGCTCTCCTCTTATGGCCTACACCCAGGCCACTTGGATGTTCTTGGGTAGCGAAAAAGTAGGGTTCCTTTGAAGGTTCTGTAGGATAAGTAGGGTTCCTTTACGGGTTCTATAGGATAAGTAGGGTTCCTTTAAGCATTCTATAGGATAAGTATATAGGGGTCCATTCAGGGTTCTATAGGAGAAGTACGGTTCCTTTAGGCATTCTATTGGATAAATAGGGGTCCTTTAAGGGTTCTATAGGGTTTAGAGGTTAAGGCGTAGCATTAGGTCAGTTATAAGTAGGGTTATAAGTCCCTCATATGGGTTATACTTATAGTCGTCCTGCTTATAGCCCCACCTTGTAACTACCCCTGAACCTCCAGGCAAGGCATATTACCGGGCATTGGGCGGAGGGTTTCAATTTACAGTTATAGGCAGTGAGCTTAGGGTTCGGGTTTTGGTTTAGGGTCGGGGGTTAGAGTTTAGGGATTAGGAAGGGAATTAGGCTACAGGGCATGGGATAATGGGATTTGGTTCTGGGGAGTATGAGCATGGCCCATTCAAGCTCGGTTAAGGGAGTTTTTGGGGGTTGGGGTCGAGCCAAGTAGCAGAAGCACAGATGATAGGTACATCCCATGCAAAGCCCCAGAATGGCAGCTAATTGGTCCCAAGCTTAGCAACCCAAAGCTCTGATCCACCAACGAGTCCTAGACACTACCCTAAGGGTCCAAGTGCCTGAAATAATCATGTACTCTCCCAAATAGTAACTTCCATAACTAATAACTGAAGCTTGCTCCCTGCCCCTTCAAGCTTGCTCCCAGAACATCCGTACACGCCGCACCCTGAACCCAAAGAAATATACAGCTCGAAGAAACTTGGAATCCTCGCTGTGTTATAACTAGTTATCTTGGTTAACATGAGTTAAGTATTTTTTTATAACTAGTTAGGTGGAGTTAGCTAACTAGTTATAACTCTGTTTTTGGGTGTGGCTTTCGTGGCAAATACTTACACTAAATATATGGGATGGAACAGCCATGAAGTATGGGAGCAATGTGGAAATCGGCTGGCCATATAGGCTTTCACATGGGTTATATGTCATATGTAGCTGGCCATATATAGGCGGTGTCATGGATATCTTGTGAGCAAGAGGGCCTTTTAAAAAAAGAATGAGAAAGGCATCAGCTGAAAGCTTATACAAACCATGCATGAAAACGAACCCTAAACCCCCCTTTGGAAGTCCAAATCTCCAGGTAGGCACGATGATCAGGGCGAAACCCAAACCTGCACTCAATAGGTGAAGCATGGATGTTTCACAGCCTGCAGTTAAGCTGGTACGGGATGAGCACCGTGGCCTCTTGGTCTGAGGCTTTACTATACAGCAGTGGGTACTGGATGGAGTCGATGGGAACGAAGCCTTGCTCGTTCGTGATGGTGCATTTCGCAGAGTGGGATGCTTTGTTCACCGTGGGAGTCCACCGCTGGAGAAGTGTGACCTGTTGAGCACCCACTTCCAAGTGGAACCAAACTTGGCCGACTTCCCAACGTCCGTCTTGCTGCTGGAAGACAACCACATCGTGGGCATGAATGGTGCCACCTTTGGCAAGCTTCGCACTCGAAGCAACCATGGCTTCGTTCAATGGGCCATCCACGAAGTCGCGGAGGACTTGGACTTGCTGCTTGGTAGCTTTCTTTGGCTTCAGCAGCTGGCAGGTGTCCGGGTGCAGACCTGGCTCCTTCAAAGTGGTGATCTCCATGGCCACGACCTGCTGCATCAAATGGCTTTCGAAAGCCGTGGTCTTCTGCAAGTTGGTGGCATACTTGGCAATGGTTTTGTGCTTGCGCTCAGTGGTGAAAGTGCTTGGCAACATCCCATACCTCTCCAAGAAATCAGGCAGGTGCAGAAGCCAGTGCCACTTCTTTATTAAGGAAACTCCGAAGTTGGCTTCCACGAAACTCTGGATGGCCGACTCAGCAGCTGGTAGTAGGCTTGCCCTGGTAGTGGCCCCATACATGGTTCCTTGGTGCACCTGGTCGAGCAGGTCTGCATGGGCCAAGAATGCCTCGCAGGCCTTAATGGGGCAGCCGCCCACCGGCATAACCATGGTGTGGAGATAATGCCGCACAATGGGGAATATACTCAAGAGGTCGCTGGCCTGGCAGGAAAACTTATAACTTGCCTGGTGTTTGCTCACCATCCTGGAGGAAAACAAAGCTTTCAGGTGCCCTGCTTTGGAAGCCCCTGGACAGGACCAGAGCTGGATGTACTTTTCCATGGAATCCCAAGCATTGAAACCCATTGCCATGCCAATGGTCTCCATTGTCTGGAAGAGGACGACAGGGCCAGTGCCTTGCAAGATCCCATGCATCCAATCGTGGCAAAACTGGCTCACTGGTCGAATGTGGCCTCTGGACAACAGCGGCTGGTTCAAGAGGAGGGCATGGGCATTCCACGTCCACCCTGCGGCCTGCTGCCAGTGCTGGAAATCCGCCTTGGTGCATGTTTGCTGCCGTTGGTCCAAACGATGGTAGGACTGGATGACCTCAGTGTCGGTTGTCAAGCGCAGTTGGTGGTATTTGGTCGTCGCATGGTCAATGACATCCTGGCCTGCAGCCATGGTGGCTGCTGAGTGGATGTTTGCGCATAACATGCAAAATCGGGTACCAGCGTCGCCTTTGGAAGACCAGATCTGCTTCTGGGCAGCCCCATCAGCGAGGCATATACCCCAATTGAAATGGAGGCGGATGTTGCCCATGGGCCCATGTGGACTTTTCAAGAGCAGGCCTCCACATGGTTCAGCCATGGGGCAGCAAAAGATGGCTTCCAGAATCTTGGCGAACACCTGGCCGATGCCACCTGGCAATTGGGCCACGAAGGTGGATCTTTCTAGGCTGATGGTCAGCCACATGTCTTCGTGGCCCATGGCTTCTTGGCCTAGCTGGAGGAAGGTGGCGTAAATGGCCCATAGCTTGCGTTCAGCACGACCAAGAACATTGCCAGGGATCACCTCGTCGCAATACAAGATCAAGGACCAGGGCTTGTCCAGCGACGAGGGATTGGCCGCATGCTTCCTTTGGAGCAGATCATGGAAGCTGCCCCCCATGGCGAAAAGACTGGTGATATAGACCAGAAGGTTGGCAAAATGGATGGTCACTGTGGCACCGTCGCTCATGGGCAGTTCTGCCTGCTGGATCAATGGTCCCAGGGGGCCGCCATCACAGCTTTCAAGAAGCTGTTGCCGTGCCTTTCGCTGGTCGTTGGAAGAACTGGCTTCCGGGAGGCCCTGCTCTTTGGCTGCTTTGACGAAGCCCGCCAAAGCACTTTGGGAATGGCCTGGCAGGCTGGCCTTGAACGTCAGAAGGTGTTGAAGTTTGGCTTTCTTTTTGGAAGGCTCCATGGTCACCCAGGGCTTCGGACAGTGCCTACTTGGTTTACAAATGATGGATCCGAACTTCTTATATATATATATATGTAAACACATACTTTAAGATATTTCGATGTATCTGAGCTGTCTGCATCCATCTGGTGTGCACGTAATCAACGGGAAACGTTCCATAGACAAGCATATATATATATATATATATATATGCACGGTTTTGCAGAGGGGAGCTCGGGGCACCATGTTCAAACATATATATAGTCCTGCATGCATTGCCTCTGCTGGTACTTCTTGTTTGGAGCAACAAGCTTCACGGACAGAAGTCATGCATTCTCAGAGCTGGCAGGACAGAAATGGAAAGGGCACTCACCGATTGCTATGTCGCCAAAAAGAAACCCTGCATGCCATATAGAGGCCCTTTGTCAGGAATATATGATTCTTGCAGTATCATACCTCAAGAGAAATACATATATTCCAGCTACAAGAAGAAATTGACCGTCCACAGACGTCAAATTCATGCTCGCACATGAAATATATATATATATATATATATATATGTATAGATATTAAAGTATATATATATATATATATGCATATAAGACCTATATATACATATATGTATATATATATATATATATATATATTTATACATATAAATATGTATATTTATTGCATGTATATAGGCATATATTTTTCAGTTATTGAATGAAAAGCGAAAGTAATTGGAGAAATAGAACCTTATTATATATGCGACATAAACCATTGTATACACCATTTCTATATATATATATATATACGTGTGTGTGTGTCTGTGTATCTCTACACGGAGACGACAGCGAGAGAGAGAGAGAGAGAGAGAGAGAGAGAGAGAGAGAGAGAGAGAGAGAGAGAGAGAGAGAGAGAGAGAGAGAGAGAGAGAGAGAGAGAGAGAGAGAGAGAGAGAGAGAGAGAGAGAGAGAGAGGAGAGAGAGGAGAGAGAGAGAGAGAGAGAGAGAGAGAGAGAGAGAGAGAGAGAGAGAGAGAGAGAGAGAGACGAGCATTGCATGCAAAGCAAACAACTTGCGAGAAACTTTTGCCCCAATGCAAGGCCCGTGGTTAAGCCAACGGATCTGGTCAGCCAAAATGGCCAATTATGGTGACACGGGAGGTCTCCCCTGGAGCTCACTTGGCCATCCTGGCCTTTCGGGCCATATGGGCCCGATAGGCTTCTCGGCCTGGGAGCCGCAGGCCTGTGTACGTTGGGCTCAGGCACTGCCCACAACCGCTTGGATTCCCTCGGCATTTGGGGCACCCGAAAATCGGTGGATCCCGCTTGTGCGGCGGCAGGTGGTCCTGGTTCTTGGCCACTGGCTTCGCTTGGTTCGCCTTTGCCTTGGGGGTGGCCTTGGCCTTGGCCTTAGCCTTGGGATTGGCCTTAGCCTTGGGATTGGCCTTAGCCTTGGGATTGTGGCCTTGGCCTTGGGATTGGCCTTGGCCTTGGCCTTGGCTTTGGCTTTTGCCTTTGGCACGGCCTTCTCTTTGGCCTCAAGCTTCCTCTTCCTGAGTTCCTGGAAGTGCTGGTCCTCAAACTCCTGCAAAGTCTTTGGCTTGGAATTGCAGGGCTTCTCCGTACACATGTCTGGCTCGGCTGTGGCGAGCATGGGATCCGGCGGCACTGCTGCTTGGCTGCCCGCCTCATCATGGGCCGTAGCAGAAGTCTGCTGCAGTGCTGTTTGCTGCGACGGCTGCTGCAGCTGCAGTGGCTGGGGCGAGGGCTGCTGCAGTTGCAGTGGCTGCTGCGAGGGCTGCTGCAGCTGCACTGGCTGCTGCTGCTGCAGCGGCTGCTGCTGCTGCAGCGGCTGCTGCTGCAGCGGCTGCTGCTGCACCGCTTGGTTCTGGTCGTTCTGCACCGGCAGAAGTGCAAGCTGCGATGGTTGCTGCTGCGGTGTTGGCAGGTTCTGCATGCAAGAGTTTAATCTCTGGCTCTGCAGGTGGTGAAGCCCAGAGAGCATTTGGGCAGCTTTGGCCAGATGGTCATGGCTTCCATGTGCCTTGTTGGACTCCGCCGGCACATGATAGCCAACCAGCAAATGATGGTTCTTCCTCATGGGCACCTTCCTGTACCAAGCATGCAGAGGAAGCTTTTTATTGGCTGGACTGCAGCCATTCGTGTATGCTTGGCTCAGCCAGGCCTCGCCATTCTGGAGAGGATCCTCCGAGTAAGTGGCCAGTTTGGGCACAGTCAATCTTGGCCGTGCCGTGGAAGATGGCCTGGAAGTCGTCTACCATGGAATGTATGGCCCTCGGCTGCATCTGTGGTTGGCCTCGGCTGTGGTTGACGTAGAGCAGGGTGGCGAGCACCTGGTGCACCGTGTTCTCCTTCAGGGAGGTAAGGCCCATTGCTCGGAGCCTTTTGGCCATGACAGACATCTGGTCATCCTTGGATACGGCAGATTCGAGAGCCTGCCAATCCGCCGTGGTCAAGTATGCTGGCACATGGACTATCTTCTGGCCGCAAGTGGAGAGCTTGATGTGGGAGGCTTCGTTGGTCTGGCATGTCTCAACGGCCTCCTGGATGCTCTCCTTTATGGCATCTGGCAGCTCCATGCTTTGGACTTCACCGATCAATTGGATGATGCCTGCGGATGTCCAATTCTTTGCCGCACGGATCCTTTCCACGAATGTGGTCGCCATGGTAGTGACGACCAGGCTCCCTGGCCGCATCTTAGTGAGCTGGCCCAGATGGCGAAGTTCAGACAAAAAGTCAGAAATGCTCCACACTTGGGACATGGCAGCACAAGTGTGGTCCTAAAACAAATTGGAATGCAGGCCAAGGTGGCTGCGAGGATGGCAGAGAAAGCACATCTCAAGCAATCTATAGCGGCACGTTGAAAGGCACATCCTATAGATACATTAGGACACACAGAAGACATGTATATGTAAAGACAGATATGCATGTCTATATATGTATATACACATAAAATATATGTCTGTGTCTCTTTATGTATGGACAACAACAGAAAACAGTACAGAATATAGAACACAGCGATTGTTGATTCTGGAAGGAGACATCATGCAAGCCAAAGTTGTCTGGATTTCTGCCAAAACAACATGAAGTTCGTGAGAGTTTAGATGAAGAAGAAAAGACACACACACACACACACCCATGTACAGATACCATGTGAAACATATACAGTATCCAGCTTTTTTGGCTAGCCAACAGAAAGAATGTGTGTGTATATATATATATATATATATATATATAAGTTATATAGTTCAATTAAATGAATGTATGTATATATAAAGATGTACATATGTAGGTAAACAGACCGATACATATATATATATATATATACATATATATATATATAGATATCTAAGTAATTATATATTATGTAGAAGACTCTATATGGAAAGGAAAAAAACCAAGTGGCTAGCCATGTGGCTTTATCACCATCTATACGTTTGCTTATATATACATATATATATATATATATATAAGCACAGTGATTGTATGTAACTGGGTATATAGGTGTGTATAATGAAACAAATATATGTATGTATGTGTATATATACACACACATACGTACATATAGACACATATACATGTATGCAGCCTACATTATTATACACAGAAAGAAGAAACACATATATATATATATAGATATAGATAGATATAAACATATATGTGTATATATATATATATATATACATATATAGAGAGAGAAAGAAAACAAAAACAACCAATAAGTTTGATTCTTTCTGTATAGTTACTGTGCTGGCCACAAAAATGGCGAACTGTGCTGGCCACAAAAAATGGCGAAGTGTGCTGGCCACAAAACTGGCGAATACATGACATGGACATGGTGCATGCACGGACCTCTGGTGTTTTACTGGTGCTGCCTGAAGCGGTCTGGCTGCAGTGGGTCATGGCCGTGCCCCTCCACCACCATGGCATGCTCAGCCAAGTACTGGGCCATCTGGGACTCCGTGCTGAACCTTAATGGACAGCGGTTGTGTCGGTCGAAAAAAACGAACTTGGACTATTGTTTCAAACTCCTTTCAAAGAAAGCTTATCTGGGGCTTAGCTTATTTATGGCTTTCCGATCCATATTTATCTCAGCAATGCTTTAGAAAAGATTCGGAACTATATGGTTTCTGGAAAACCTAAACAATCAGGTCCATGGTGCCACTGGTAGAGTCTGTGGCAGCGAGCATAGTCGCCCTGGGTCCAATGGTCAATGAACCATTGGACCTTCCTGGCCCACGTTGGTTTCCCGTCCAGCCACAGCACTGGTTCGTGGTCATGGAGCTCCTTTTGGAAGCTGCTGCACAGCTCCTGGACCCCTCTCCAATCTTCTTGGCTGTATCTGGTCAACAGCCAACATGCTTTGTGTTTCCAGCCTGTGTGTCGGTGTGGCACATCTGGCATGGCACCGGCTGGTGCAGCAGCAGTGGGTCGCCTGGCCTTTGGTGGTTCTTTTCCCACTTGCTTTGGCCCGAATCCAGGTGGTGGGTAGTCTGGTTCTCGTGGCTGCAGCTTGGGCGGCGGTCCTTGGAAAGCCCATGGGTCGTGGGAGGAGGTGGCCGGCTCTGGTGTTTGCTTCGGTGGCGGAACGACCATGGGTGTGTGGCCCAATGCTTGCTTTCGGAATGCGGCCGGGATGTTGGATTCTTTGCCTTTGCCTTTGCCCTTCATAACGTTGGCTTTGCTGATTGGGCCCACTGGTCGAGTGGGTTCCATTGGTGGCCTCGCCGCTTCCGTTGCTGACTTTGCTGGTTCCTTTGGTGGCCTCGCCGCTTCCGCTGCTGACTTTGGTGGTGCTGGCTGTGGTGCTTGTTGTCGCCGCCAGGGAGGTTGCTGCTGCTGTGGCTGTTGCTCTGCTGTGGGTGGCTGCTGCCGTGGCTGCTGCTGTGTTGTTGGCCCGGCTGCTTGGGATGGTGGTTGTTGCTGTTCCTTCCCTTGGGCCTCAGGGCCTTGTTGTGCTGTTGGTGGTGCTGCCTGCTGTGCTGGTCTTGCTGCGGCCTCTGCTGGGGGTTGTCGTGGCTGACTGGGTCCCCTGCCTCCGAATGTTACCTCCATGCTGTGTGTGGTTGCCTCTGACTGCCAACCATGGACCCATCCAGCTGGAGGAAATGCTGCCGCTGGAGGCACCATCGGTTGCAGCAGTGGTGCTGCTGAAGGCAGGCATGGTGCCACTGGGGGCACCATTGGTCCAACTGAAGGCAGCCATGAGGAGTCAGGAATGGTGCTGTCGGAGGCACCAATGGTGCTGTCGGAGCCAGCAATGGTGCTGTTCCAAGGGTGCTGTTGGAGGCACCAGTGGTGCTGTCGGCCCAAACTGTCCCAGCACTGGTCCCAGTCGGCCCAGCACCGCTGCTTGTTGGGCAGCAGCCTGTAGGTTCACCCAATCTGGTGGTGTCGGCCATGCGAAGACTTGGGTCCGTGCCTTGGCCGTGGACCTCTCCTGCACCACTGTCTCATGGGAGACTTCACTCATCGCAGGGCTGTGGGGATCGTACTCTGGACTCGGTGTCGTCGGCAGCACAGTCCCGTTGCCATCATCCATGGCTGCAGGCCACGTGGAGAAATGGAAAACGCCAAACAATGGCTTATTGCACTTAGGATTGTAATTGCAATCCTAAGTGCAGAAATTTTGCACTTAGGATTGTAATTGCAATCCTAAGTGCAGAAATTCTGCACTTAGGATTGTAATTGCAATCCTAAGTGCAAAACTCTTGTACTTAGGATTGTAGGTGCAATCCTAAATGCAACCACTGTTTGTTGAACACTGCTTGTAAGTTTCCATCTAGTCAGTCTGCTCGCATGGTCTGGGTGCGGCTTGTTTGGTGCTTGCGACTCTACTGAACCGCTGGAGAGAACGGGCGCGGATTACAACATTATGTGATGCACATGTGCCTGCGACTGGGGTCTGCTACCAGCTCACACTGGCACTCGGACAGGAGGTGCATGCACTATAGGGCTGCTGGGTTTCACATTGCTTATGGTGCTGCACTGGTTGCTGGGACTGGTGTTGGAGTTTGCTGGCCATGCTGGCTATATCCATATAAAACAAAAACTGGCCACGATGGCTGTCTTTCAATATGTGGATGAGAAATCTAAAGAAGCTGGCCATGATGGCTGTGGCTACATATAAATGTAAAACAATATGAACATGCTGGCCACACTGGCAATGGGTATACTGGCCATTCTGGCAACAAATCTGTATAAGTAGCAGTATATATACACTAGAATATATATATATATATATATATGAGTCTGTATATATATATATATATATATCTGCTATCCCCCCCCTCAAGGATCTACCCTTTCGTGTGTTTGAGAGCCGGATGGGAAATAGTTGATATTCTATAACGTATTCCCTTCTCTTTATAAGTCCTTCACTAAATACGCTTCGACTCGATCAAAGATTTCGCAGATCCTAAATTCTGCATTTCCTTCATATACACACTGAGTTTTTCCAAGCGACATACATTCGCGTACGGCTTCTTCTCGTGTTGCGAAAGAACGCAAGGTTGCATGCATGTTCTGTGTGTGTATAGGTTTTTGCATGCAGCAGTATGGGCTGTGAAGGTAACACGCAACAGGAGAGCAAAGATATGTCATCCCGTATCACGACAAGTATAGATATGAAAAGAGGACCCTATTTCTACACGTCCCATATATAGGACGCATCGGGATTATAGATAATATCCGCGAACACGAAATCTATCGATATTTCCAGGGTTCAATACATTGTGTTTCACCAATATAGTACCCTTTAAATTACATTTAAGAATACTTTGCAAAATTCCACTCACATAACCTTTATATCTTATAGAAATCCACCCGAATATCCTGTCGCATACCGTCTCCAAGACCACCTATATAGGATTCACCCCGCGCGCATTATATTACACATACCCTATAGGACACTCTATACAAGACACTATATAGAATATCTTGCAGGACGTCCTTTGGAATACTTTCTCTATGTATCGTAAAGCCTTTCATATGGAATGCACTGATATAGAATACCCTCATGCCTTATTGAATACCCTAGAGCCTCGAGAATACCTTATCATATACTTTCAGTCACAGTCCGTATATCTTTTGAATATCTAGAATACCTTACAAAATACGACATAGAATACCTTACAAAATACCTTATGGAACACATACCACCCTCTATATGTCGTGCGCCTCATGGAAGACCGTCTGGAATACTCTATAGAAGACCTTACAGGATGCCCATATGGCCCTATACATGACAGTCGTTGTATACAGTATATATACCATGAACCCATATAACATTTAGTGGCTCAAAACCAAACTTTCAACTTTTGGCCCCTAATAAGGTAATCTTGTTGCGAAAGTTTAAACTTCTTACACCCCCATAGGTATTTGGGAAGTAAGAGTACCTATAGATAACCTTTCAACGAGCCCAAGATCTGAGAACCCCTCATAAAGAAGCAGCCTATTGGGTAAGGGGTTTCTAGGAGTGATCCAGGAGTCGAAGAGAATAACCTAAAGAATACCACAAACCCCAAAGAATTTCGCACAGGTGACCCTAGGTAAGACGTTATAGAATATCCCCTATATACCTCATAGATATCTTCTTGAGTACCTTATAGCCGTATAGCCTATACATTACGTTATAGAACACGTTCTGTAAGATAATCTTTACGTTCATGTTGATGCCTTGTACAATCCCTTATACAATGCGTTATGGAGTACCCGATAGAAAGCCCGAAACAACGTTACATACTTGGCCTTTTATAGGCCTTGTACAATATCATCTGCATTTCCCTACCGACTAGCTTACAGAATACACAATATCTATGATACCCTCTGAGTACCCCATAGGAAGTCCTAAAGGAAACCTAACGGATATTCTATAACATACCCGTAGAATGCACCATAGAATGCCTTGTAGAGTACTTTATAGATAACGGATTAATGGCAGGATAATCAGGAGCAGAATGCTTTGCGCTGTACCTGCTATATGCCCAATGAAGAAATCAAAAACAAGAGCATATAGAACACCTTGCACGGTACTCCTCCTTTACATCTTAAAAATTTCATATAGATACCCATAGATTATAGAAACCCTTTATACCTTTATGAATCCTGTTGAATACCCGTTGGTGATTTCACCAATATTCA